TGGATTTACAAGAAGCACTAAAAATGTAACTTCAACAAAGTTAGATCAAAAGTTAATAGTTACCGATAAAATATAACTAAATTAAGTTAAAAGTTAAGAGCCTAAAATGTAACTAAGTTAAGTTAAAATTATTTAACTTTTCAACTTTTTAACTTAACTTGTATCTTTTTAACTAGCCAACCCTGGAATTTATTTATTTAAATCTTTTCAGTTGCATTTTTCACGTACTTATCGGATGATAAGAAGGTAGCTATCGGTTGATCTTGACACACAAAGAGAATTCCGTGACCAAAGAGTACAGAGTACAGACACACCCGCTCGAATACCTACTCTCGTAGAAAGTAATTGTACAAAGTATGAATGGACCGACGAGAGATCTGCCGTGGGGCCTGCGATGCGCGAGGTGCGTGCAATGCGACGGCTGCTGCGAGCATCGCCGTGTCAATTGGATGGCGTGGCACCAAGGCGGCGTGCTGGCGCTCACCTACCTGGCGTACACCTGTTACCATTTGACCCGAAAGCCGATATCCGTGGTGAAGAACGTCCTGAGCCACAATTGCAGCAGCCTGCCGGTACCCGCGGACATTTCGGTGAACGCCAGTAACCGGGACACCTGGTGCGACTGGGCTCCGTTTGGTAAGAGCAGATGAAACAATGAGAATATAATGAAGAAAAAAAATCGGCTTGTATTAGAGTATTCTATCGCTATGTTTATTTTTTTTTTACAGATACGGAGGACGCGCCGGCGTTACTCGGCATGCTGGATTCGGCATTTTTGTTTGCGTACGCGGTGGCTATGTTTCTCAGGTGGATATCCTTGATGTGAGACTGCTATTCGACTAGGGGACGACGTAGAAAATTTCAATAATGTTTTTCTCTTCTTCACACAGCGGCTTCATAGCGGAGAGAGTAAATCTACGATATTTCCTTTCCTTTGGTATGCTCGCTTCAGGCATATCGTGCTATCTGTTCGGGATCGCTAAATCGTACAATATTCACAATCTATGGTACTTTGTTTTCGTGCAGGTAAATATCAATACGTATATAGTTTGTAAAATGATATGTTATATGATGTGTCAGTCCAGGGTTGGGTAGTGCCTAGATAAAAAGACAAAAGTTAAGCTAAGAAGTTAAAAATAATTTAAATATTTATTAAAAGTTAAATAATTTAATTTACAATTAGTTACATTCTAGACTCTTAACTTTTAACTTAATTTAGTTAACATTTTATCGGTAACTATTAACTTTTTTGATCTAATTTTCTTGAAGTTACATTTTTAGAGCTTCTTGTGAACCCAAAATAAAATATACATCTGCGTTGGTGTCTTTAAACTCAAATTCGAGAATATATTATAACAATTGCCTTGATGTGCATT